GGGTTTGGAAGTTTAGGGTTTAGGGGTATAGACTTTTATTCTATAATGGTTCCTTTAAGGAACAGGTCCCAAAAAAAAGTATTAAAGTATGGTACTCCAAAGCCCAGCATCTTCCAGTGGTAGGACAGCAGCCGACCCTTTGCGGCCAAGGCCTCCACCTCTTTAAGGGGTTTAGGGCTTTTAGGGCTTCAGCGTTTAGGGTTCTAGGGTTTAGGGCTTTAGGGTTTTAGGGTTTTAGGGTTTTTGGGGCTTTAGGGTTTAGGGTTAAGGGTTAAGGGTTAAGGGCCTAGGGCGGTTCCTTTCAGTTTGGGTTGGGGTGAAAGGCTCTTGAAGCTAAGAGCGGTTCCTTTCGGCTTCGCTTTGTAAGAGCTTTTAAGCATCGATCCGTGCAAGGGGCGCCTCGTCTCTACAGCGCAACCCACCCCTACACCCTAAACCCTAAACCCTAAACCGACCCACAAAAAAGCAAGTCGCCTCGCGCAGGGTGCTGCGCCAGTAGCGGCACATGTTCTCCAGGTTGGGTGGCCGGGTGTTGCTGGCACTGCACTTTTGCGGCCTTGGTAAAGGTGTTACACATGAGAGGTCGGTGGGTTCAGGATTTAGGGGTTAGGTTCAGGGCTTGGGGCAGTGAAGGGCTTGCGGCTGATGATCAAGGAAGGGCTTTAGCACAGGCCCCAAACTGTTAGCCCTAAACCCTAAACCCGAAACCCCAAACCCTCAACCCCTAAATCTTAGGCCCTGAACCCTAAATCCTAAACAGGCCCCAGACTGTCGAGTCGTCCCGACTTATCAAAAATCGGCCAGGAACCATCCGGTTTCAGCGACCACGAAGCCGTCAAAGCCCAGGTCCTAGACTCTTCCGGCGGCCACACGGTTTAGGGTTTAGGGTTTAGGGTTTAGGGTTTAGGGTTTAGGGTTGAGGGTTGAGGGTTGAGGGTTTACGGCTTGAATAGGGTGCGGGGCGTCTTGAAAGGTTTCATGGGTTGTCGTGCTTTCACAGGTGGTGGCTTGGGAAATGCCGTTCCTCACGCAAATGCTGCGTCGGGAGAAAACGGTGGCACCGATGCTCAGCCGCTGTCATGTACAACACATGATTCCCAGCTTCTTACTTTACACCCCAGGAGCAGGAGGATGCTTGCGAAAGATGGCTGAAAGGAGTTTCAGATCAGTGGGACGTGCAGCATTAAGAGATTAGAATGCACATCAAAAGCGAAACACAAGAGTCTGGGACTTGCCCTGCAAGAAATACCTCATCTGTGCTTTCTTGGAGCATAGCTGTCTTCATAAAGCTGGTGCGCAGGCTTCATATGGAGATTTCGGGTTTACGGTAACAAGCTCGAGGTCAACACGGCATTGAGTTCAAAACCAATCTCACACATACACGCAACCAACAAAACAGCAGTTGCGCTATCCTGGTGCATCCCGTGCTGCCTTTGCTTGCTAGTGGTAGAGGAAGATGCATTCCAAACGTTGGAACTCCCTTTTCCTGCACGTTCCCTCGCGGCGTCGGCCCACATGTTACCTAAATGGTTGCAAGCTGAAGTGGAAGACACGCTTAGAGGTAGGTGTCTTGGGAGTACCATATCTCTTTCTGCAATATGTATATATATATATATATGTGTATATATATATATAACTACAACCATATATATATATATACACACACATAGATTTCGATGTGTAGACATGGAAGTACAGGATGCGTTTATTCACATGTATGTGCACTTACGTACGCATGCATGCCTGCATGAGGTGCTACCGGCGTGAACCTACACATATACCTCTACACTGTATGTATGCATGCATGCATGCATGCATGCATGCATGCATGCATGCATGCATGCATGTACTGAGTGAGAGAGAGGGAGAGAGAATGTTAGACAGACATGCGTATATATATATATATATGTGTGTGTGTGTGTACGTAGCATACGAACTTCTGCTAGAAAGTATGTACATACATACATCTGCATGTAAGTATGTATGTATACAGGTATCTATGTGTGCAAGCATGGAGGTCTGTATGCACGTACATATGTAGGTATCTAGAAGGTATGTAGTGGGTATGCAGTAGGCATGTTGCAGGTATGTATGTAGGTATGTATGTATGTATGTATGTATGTATGTATGTATGTATGTAATGTTGGTATGTATGTCAACATGCATGTAACCATGCATGTCACCATGTATGTAGACATGTATGCAACCATGTATGTAACCATGTATTTATCCACGTATCTATGCATCTCTGTGCATGCTTGCGTGCATTATCCGCTCGTCCTGGGCAAAATCCATGAAGCCCTTGGTCACGGCAGAATCGAAGGGCGCCCAGAGAGATCCGGGGGTCCAGAAAGGATAGACCTCGCCAGCATGTGCTCTTCAAATCTTAAGTCTTAAAAGATGGCTTGGGGCAGGAGCTTCGGGTTTAGGATCTTTGGTGTGGAGATGGGGTCTCAGGCCCTAAACCCTAAACCAGCAAAGCAGAAGCCCAAGAAAGGAGCCTGCTCTTTGTGTCCGAGGGGCGGTCCCTTCCAGATGAAACCTGGCGGAGCTGAGGGGAGCTGAAATCGGAACTTCAACTGAACCCTAAACCCTAAAACCTGACAAGGTTTAGGGTTTAGGGTTTGGGGTTTAGGGTTTAGGGTTGAGAGGAGCCCTTATCCAAGAACGGTGCGTTTTTGTGGGGAACAACCTGAAACGCAAGAGCCTTCCAAAGGCGTCTTCCGTTCATGCCTGGGCCATCGGAGGGTAGTAATGCTGCAGGATGCTGTCATCATTAAGTAGGACTCTTCTTGAGATGAAGTGCGACTGCTTCCACCAGCAGTGGTAACAGTATGGGGTTCTTACGCGATTGGGTTGTTGACCCTGTGTCGCGTAGTGAAGTGGGCACCTTCGACTACAATAGCGTTGTTCGCACAGTCCCGCTCCGGCACTGTGCTCCACGGATGCACAGACAAGGTAAGTCCAATACTTTCGGGTTCTTGAACTTGACCCGCGCTTCCGCCAGAGCGCCGTGCATGTTTCGGGGTGATTTGGGGATGGGAACCGTGCTTGGCTCTTGGGCCAGCCTTGCTGTGGTCCCGCCAGTCGAAGGCTTGAGGAACTCCGCAAAATGGGGTGTGAGTTCTGGGGTGCCAGTCCTCCCTCCGGCCATACCATGTGGTCTTGCGAGCCATCTGGGTAGGGCAACGTAGGCCGTGGACTCGGACTGCTTGGTGCTTTTGTTTGGGGTCTACGCTAGCACACGATATTCGCCACCAGACAAGTCGAGTACACTTTTTCCTCAGAACCCTATTTTCCACGTCACTTACCTAGGCCCCCGTGTTACTTGGGACTGACAAGTCCGCAAGCCCCAAAACTCGAGGATTCAAAAGACTGTCTGCAATGATCTGCAACGCAAGGCCCGTATGTTATGGAATCCTTGAGGGAGGGGGTTCTAAGGGGGTATATAACCCAGTAATCCCCAATTCTCCCTAGTACTCCCTTAGGTTCCCTAAAGCTCCCTAGGACCCTCCCCCCTTGAGCCACCCCCTTCAGGATCCTCTAAGTATAGAGAATAGCTTACCAAACCCCTCACCTTTCCATTTAACTACGAACAGAAGTCCTAGAAGAACTTCACATAACACACTCGCAGGACTAGTTGTTGAGACTCCTACACGAAGCTGCCCATAAATCCCCATCCAAACAGACAGCTTAAACATACTTAAAGCCCGATCAGCCCCATGAAGACTCCAAAGAACCTGCAAAAGAAAACAACAGCTAGTAAAATACCTGAGGCCCACGCCCCAAATGCAGAAGACAAGCACCACCCCATTCCCGAAACCGCAACGCCCAAACCCCCAAACCGGCCCTAGACACAAAGCTAAACCGCAAACGACGTTGGCACAAGCCTCAAAAAACCCTCCGCGCCTTCTGCCGGCTGCCTGCAATGGCGCCAGCTGAGCCTGAAGCGCCTGGACCACCGGGTTCAGGGCTTAGGGCTGATTTCATTCGGGTGTGCAAGCTGTGTAATCGTGTGAAGAGGCGTCTAAGCTGATACAATCAGAAAAGCAAACTAATTGCCGGGTATGCCTATCATGGCCCCTAGTGGAGCTGGAAAGGTTGAGACGGGCCTGGGGGGTTAAGCGGGTTCAAAGTACACGGGTAGGGTGTAAGGCTCGAAGTTTCGGATTGGTGGTGTTTCAGGGGTTTTCGTGGACCTTCTGACTTAGGGATTTAGGGGGCGTGAACATGAGCCTTTACCCGGATGTTAACAGACTTCTCCAGAGATACCCTGCTCTGGTCGCAATGATGGCCAAGCCATGGACCGTTCATGAGGTTTCACGGAAGAGGCGGTTGGATGCTTGGGCAGTGTCTGATGCCTTGACTTCGAAGAAAGGGTTTAAGGAGTTTGGGGGTGGCTGCGTTATGGGGATGCCGCGACTCGTCAGGTTTTCCGGCACCGAGGTCCCGAAACGCACCTCAAAGAACCCTTAGAGGAGCCCTTACGGTAAGGCTTTTTTTTGGGGATTAGGGTTTAGGGTTTAGGGTTTAGGGTTCAACCCTAACCTGAAACCCTAAACTTAAAACCCTAAACCCTAAACCACAAAAAAAACAGACCTCAAGGAACCCCTAGAAGCCCCGAGCCCTCCCCTGCCGTCAGCATGGAGAGCGGGCTGCTCTGCTCGTTTTGGAAGGGAATCCTTGGATCTCACGGGACCTAAACCCTGAACCCTAAACCCAAAACACCCTGAACCCAAAACACCCTGAACCCTAAACCCTAGACCCTGAACCCTAAACCCTGAACCCTCGAAAGACGTTGCCGTTTGGGGTCCAGGGCTCAGGGCCTCATGTTTTCGAGCCCCCCTGAAAGGTCTGAGGACCTTTGTGCCTTCGGCTCACATTGCAGGGGCCTCAATAATTACCAATACTATTGTGGGGGGTTCTTATTCTAAGTATAGTATAATGGCCCCCAAACCCTATTTTAATCATCAAGGCCCCCTTTTTAGGGTCCTTCGGGTCGGGTTAGAGTTCTGGTTGAGACGTCGAGGACCTTTCCGGGGTTGAGACTGTTGCCCTTCTTGGCATCGCTTCGAGGTTAGAGGGGAACCCGAAGCCCAGATCAGAGCATCACAGGGCTTAGGGTTAGGGTTTGGGCATTAGGCTTTAGGGTTTAGGGTTTAGGGTTTAGGCATTAGGCTTTAGGGCTCAGGGCTTAGGGCTTAGGGCCCTCAGGGAGTCTGAGCATCTCTAGTGCAGGGCGCCAGGCCCCCGACCCTAAAACCTTAAACTCTCGATCTAAAACGCTACACCCTAAAACTGAAGCCTTAAACGTTTGGGGTTTATTTAGGCTTTAGGGTTTAGGGTTTATAGGGTTTTGGGTTTAGGGTTTATAGGGTTTAGGGTTTAGGGTTTAGACCCCCCAAACCCCGAAACTGAAACCTCACACCCGGAAGCTTAAACCCCAAGGCCATCCGGGCATCACGAACTCCACGTTGATGGGAAAAGCCGCATGGGCCTCCTTGATTCGGTCGAAGTACTCCTGGGCTAGGATTTAGGTTTTAGGGTTTAGGTTTTAGGGTTTAGGGTTTAGGGTTCAGGGTTTAGGGTTTAGGGTTTAGGGTTTAGGATTTAGGGTTTAGGGTTTAGGGTTTAGGGTGGGGCTCAGCACCTTTGATTTTGGGATCAAGGGTTCGACCCGTCAAACTTGAATTTGGGTCTAGGGTTGAGGGCTCAGCACTTTAGACTTTGGGTTCGGGGCTTACTATTCGGAGCTTGGGGGCTTCTAAACCCTAAACCCTAAACCCTAAACCCTACACCCTAAACCCTAAACCCTAAACCCGAGTTAGAGTCTCAGAGTCTCCAATGGGGGTAGAACCCGCGAACCCGGACCTGCCGTAGGTTCCACCCTACCTCTGCATGTCTCAAAGGGAAAACAGAAGAGAACAGCGTCAAGAGCAAGCGTGGGGCCTGAGGTTTGACTCTTTAGGGTTTCCATCGCTAAGTAGTTTCACTATTGTTTCTTAATAGATTTTTAAACTGCTTTATTACAGTCATATACTCATATATTAGACTGCTTTACAGTCATATATCCTCAGCCAGGGCTCATTCTGGATGAAGTCGGCGAAGACTTTTGCTTGGCTCGACTCTTGCACCTGGCGTCCAGGAGCCAAAATGCAACGGCCCCACCAAAAGAGAACGACATCTGGTATTCCGGATCCGTGGTTGTCTTGTTTCCTGCATCCTAAAGAAGCCGAGGGTTTACGGTTTAGGGCTTTTTAGGGTATCACAGAGGTCGCTTGCTGCGGATCCGAAGAGTACGAGGCTACCTGGGAGTGAAATTCAGCTCCCTCGCGGAGTCGCCATGAGCTAGAGTCTAAACTCCTTAAAAAGGTGCTCAAGTCGGCAAGAAAGGGGAGTATTGTAGGGAATGTGAAGGGGGATACTAGGAGGTTAGAGTGTAGCTCTCATGCCAATGCACACGCAAGTGCAGGTGGAAGTTTCATTCCTTGGCGGCATCAGCCAGGTGATTGGGCTTCTACAGACGACCTCAACGGTGTCGTCAGAATTTGAGGGTGCTCCTCTCGCACAACGGCCTGTGGAGATGTGTCTCACGGTTGGGGCAGACGGTTGGACGCGGAATTCAAGCTGCATTGGGGACGGTGGGAATATTTTGACTTTGGGATGGGGGCTATTACTATTACTCTTGCTCTTACTGTTGCTGTTATGATAACTATTATTGTTACTATGAATATCCCTAGTGATTATTGTTGCTACAGTACTATTACGACCGAATGACAGTGAAATAGGGAAACGCTTCTGGAAGGAGCTTCAGATACCGTACATAATCCCTTCCTAGACCCTCTTGAACCCTAAATCCTAAACGAACACCCAGTTCGGAGGTGCTGTGCGGGTTTTCGGTAGATGCGGTGATTTGGCCGGACGACGATGGTGACGACAGTAAGGAGACGATGATGATGATGATGATGATGATGCTGACGGCGACGATGGTAATCAATATTTTGCTGGGGATGCTGATGGTCTGCGTCTTCTCAGTCTCAGTTGCACCAACCCTCACCGTTGGGAGCTGGCGGCGCGCCTGACCGAAACCCTGCTCCGTCGGATTGATGCAGTACCTTAGCGTCCCAAAGCTGGTCCCTTTTAGGGTCCATAGCATAAGGGTGCCATACCCTAAACCCTAAACCCTAAACCCTAATCCCAAAGCTGGTCCGTCCCTGTTAGGGTCCATAGTATAAGGGTGCCATACTACATTGGGGACCCAAAAAGGGACCCTAATTTACGCTGGGCTTCGAGCCAGAAAGGCTCCCTTCAGGGCTCCCTCCAGGGTGATGGGTACTTCGGGGGGGCTGCTTGGCTCGAAGCTTTGGCGGGGGAGTGTGCCAGCAACTGCGACTAAAACCTGCGGGCCCTCGTCTTAGCTCCTGAGGCTCTGTTTCAATAAATCTCGGTCCCAGTTTCAGTGGTGAGGACTGGCAGATACTGCAGGTGTCGATCTGCACCAAGATCCGTGAGACGTGCGTCAGCTTCGCGAGTTTCTCGAGGGCCACGGACATGGAGAAGTCCATCCACGAGGGCAAGCTGTCCTGATACAGCGGCCCTTGCATTCAAAAGAATTAGAACTTGTGATCAAGGTGATGGGGGTATTTGGAAGTGAACTATGTTGGTCTTTATGTTTATGAGTGGGTATTACATAATACTAACTCAATTCAGACCTCTTCATATTTTGAGGCATCGGCTGCCCCAAAGCTCGAACCCTAAAACCTCAAGCAGCCCCGAGCCTTCCCTGGAGCCGCTACTCTAATAACCTGAAGCCCTGAGTACACCCCACCATGCTGGACCAAGCGTCGCACGTTGCAGGCGAATCGAAAAAGAGGCTCGTGATCTGTACCGACGTGGGCTCCTCTTCCGGGCTTTTGCCAAGGGTTTAGGCTTTAGGGTTTAGGGTTTAGGGCAGGTACTCTACCTGAATCCTACAGCCTACACCCCAAACCTTAAACCCCCCCTAAAACCCCCTTAGACCCTACCCCTAGGCCGTGCACCGTGCTTTCTGCCGTTCAGGGAGTCGCACCGAGGGGTCGTAGGCTTCGGGCCTTCAGTTTCCGGGGTTGGGGCGTCTCTTCTGTAGGGTTTTGGGGGGCTAGAACTCATAACCACCTAATCCCTCAACCCTAAACCCCTAATATTAACATTATTCTTACCTATCGTTCATATTGCTAATCATACTAGTATTCATACTACTAAATTAATCTTTCTCTCGTTCATACTACTGTTTATATGTTCAAACTACTAAGCCCTAAGCCGTGAAGTCCGAGCTCTCCTGGCTGCCCGCCGCGGCCAGGTCAATGGCTTCCAGCGCGGTGTTGGCCCAACCTCCCACGTTGATGACGCGGAAGTTGCGCACGCCCTGAGGGTTTAGGGTTTAGGATGAAACAGTTGAGTATTTAGGTGGCTTTTGGGTTGGGATCTGTCTTTGGGATTCTCTCGATTAAGGTCTGATCAAAGGTTTACCGCACGAACATACGCTGAAGCAGCGTCTAAGCCCCTGGAAGCCAGTCAAGAGCCCGCTTTCCGCCCGAGCCTGTGCAAAAAGATTCCCCACAGCCGTGGCAACAGCGGCCGCATCTCCTTGGCTCTTGTTCAGGACACATTACCAGCTACTGTGCTATAAAAGAAGCCTTACCACGGTACCTTTAAACTACGGTCCTGAACTAGTACCCTAGTCTCTGAAGCCGTCGTAGCCGAAGACGTTCACGCCCATGGCGCTGCAGAGCTGTCGGCTCGTGCAGAGAGGCTCACAGGGCTTCGCACAGTTGGTGTTGGACTCGGAAAGATACCTCTGTTTAGGGTTTAGGGTTTAGGGTTTAGGGTTTAGGGTTTAGGGTTTAGGGTTTAGGGTTTAGGGTTTAGGGTTTTGACCAGGTTTAGCACAAAGGCTTCTGGAAGGGTACTGCATGATTAATCAATCGGAACCGGGTCTGGGGGCAGATTATAGTATAAGCAGAACAGGGACGATAAGGGAATATAACAATATTTGGGTTTCCACCTTACCCGCCCGCACGCTTCCGACTCCTTTATTTTTGGGCAATGGGTTTAACTGCGAGCTAGTTCTGCGAGCATCACTGTGACTGGTTTTTGGTATCCCCAGCACCACTAGCAGCCACTGCTCGTGCCATCAATATAACCGCATTCAACCACCATAAACTCTTCATCAGAAGCTTCTCCTCGACAAGAACTGCACAACAACACCTATAATGACAAGCAGCAACACTCTTGATCCTAAACCCTGAACCCTAAAGACCCTTAACGAACCCTGAACCCTGAAACCCTTCCGAAGCCAAGAAGGAACTTAAAACCCCCCCAACCCTAAACCCTAA